TGCCTAACAGCGTAACCGACTGCAATTGATTCAGCTGACGCTGCGCTGCTGCTGTGACTACTGTGAGTGCAACTGCACACGGCGCCCCTCTGTCGTCACTATTCTCCAGCGAGGGATAGTATAGAGGTGGGCCTATGGGAATGGCGGAAAGGTTTGCGCGCGTTGGTGCTGACGCCGCCGTTGACAGCGCTTCTGCTGATAAGAACAAAGCGCAACAAAAAAGAGCAGCAGCGTAGCGTAGATAAGCATGGAAAATAAGACAAATAAATAAAAAAACAGAGAAACTGCGACATTTGTGAATGAGCAGGCGATAAGAGGACGGAGGGAGAAGGCGTCTGGATCCTGGATAGGGTTGTCAGGTAACAAGGCAAGGAGAACTAGGAACAGTGAACCAGTGGCTCAGAAATCAGTAAATTAGGTTCAGATATTACATCTGAAATCAATGCATTTGGAAATCCATTTGCATCTTTGGTAGTTATTGTGATAGCGTTTGTAGATAATAGGAACTACACAATCTGAATCACTTTATGTAAATGTATAGGAAAGTTTATAAATACTGACTCAATATTTACCACGAATTCCGTTTACCTGTCATCAAAACGGTTCACTCTTTGGAACTGGTTACCATAACTTTCCAACTTTCGATAAGATTCTGTTTACCAGCGTCACCGTGGCCCAGTCCCAGTCCCAGAGCCCAATTATCAATAAAGCCCCAACGATGCGCGCAGGCGACACATACTTACACCTGAGTCATGCATGTGGCGCTGGCAAAGGTGAGCTCTAATTCGATTAATCATCCAAAAATTTGTTTAGTTTTTCGTTTTGGTGGAGAGGAATGCACTTGAGAAATGCATTAGAATCCGCACCTGTGATGCAGACTGAGACGCCGACAGAGGAAGCAGGCCAAGCAAGCAGCAGCAGAAACACAGGCAAGCAGTGGAGGGGCAGAGGACTGAGCAGCGGCAGCATTCAAGTGGATTTCTGTCTAGGAAATCGCAGCAACTTTTTGTGCCCAAGATAAGCGTACACTCAAGTATTTTCAAAACATAATAAAAATATAATTTTATTGTGTGTATTTATACTTGTTTTACCCCCGAAAAATTCCTTTTTCTCTGCTCTTTTTTTGTTCAATTAATGGCGCGCACACATATTTATACATACACAATCACACACACGAACACATATTGCAGCATAAAATCGGCGCACGACTCTGCAGTCGAGAATAAAACTGTAATCGTCCCTGCTGCTGCCTGCAGAGAGAGGGAGAGGCAGCAGCTGTCAGAGTAGCAAGGCAATATATAATACCAACACCAACAACAAGGACAACAACACCAGAGCAGCAGCAGCAGCGCGCGGTCGCAGCGAAGAAGAAGCGTAGACAATTTTTTCTTCTTTCTCTTTCACCCAGGTCCAAACGTAATTGCACTGATGTTGTTTTTGGCTGGGAAAAATCATGAAAAACTCTGTGAATGCTACTCACGCGTAGAATCGAACACTTCCGGCTGATTTATTTCGTCATTTTTAACAGATTAATGCACCGCAAATAGGGGTAAATTGTTTTTAAAAATTGTTTATCACGAAAAATGCACACACAAGCAGTGTGCCCGCGGACTTGTCGAAAAAATATACCGCGTGACCCTCAGATTATACCGTATATACCAACAAATGATTTAAATATACTATTTTATACACCGATATACCATAGATCACGAGTGAATAAAAAAACTTGGTCCACTGAACCGCCTGAAACACGTGAACAAAATTAGTTAATACGACTTGTAAATCAATCCTTACTGTTATTTTCAAAAATAAAAATAGCCTGATAGTCAGCCGTACTGGGCTGCAGCTCTTTAAATTTCATTACTTTTGTGGGCGACAATGGGCTAACGAATTATGAGCTGTCAAATATATTTTAAGGAAAAAAGTTAGTTTCCTTATATATTTATATTTAAGATGGATTTAGTCAGAAATAGGGTAATATCATCAATAGCAGCAAGTAGCTCCTGTTTTATATATCACAAATTTATCTTTCTCTTTTTTACTGTTATCGAAGAAGTGCCAGCAACAGCTGAGCGCGCTTGTGTTTTTGTCTGAAGAATTTGCGAATTGCGGGTTTGTTTGTTGGTTTTTTTCTACAAATATTACCTAAATTTCTGAAATAAGAAACATGAAGGAATGTCCATATGGCGAGAAGTGCTACAGAAAGAATCCCATACACTTTGGCGAGTTTTCCCATGCGCACTGTAAGAAAATGCCACTGACGATTTTCAAATTCCTATAAATGTTTGATTTCTGCAGTGGATGTCATTTACGAGAAAGGAAATGGAGGCGGGGACTATGATATACCTGACAAGTACTCATCAGAACTGATTCACACACAGTTGAAGCTACTGGAGAAGGTCTTACCAAAGCCTGCGGCCGCCAAAGCCAAGGAATCTTCAACAGCTGCTGTCCCTGAAACACCTAAAAATGCTCCATCTACGAGTGGAACTTCCTCAACTAGCTCTTCATCGAGCACGTCCAACAGTCACGCAAGTACTTCAAGGGACAGCTCGAATTTGGCCAAAAAACAAAAGCTGGCAGAGCGCAACATCCGAGATTACATTCCCGTGGTGGTGGAGAAGGGAGGAATGGCCAAGAAGCTGGAGCGTGCGGCTCCCTACAACATGTTCCTCACGGCCATCACAGACTCGAAACCCACGCACCAGGAGCCGCTGAGCGTGACGCTCCAGGAGATACTCGACGAAAGCCTGGGCGAGATCGAGAGCAGCGTCCAAATCAACTTTATGGTGGACATTGGCTGGCTCCTGGGACACTATTACTTTGCTGGGATACTGTAAGATGTACCTAAAACCATGCAATCATCAGAATACTCAATGATTTCTTTTCTAGGGACAAACCCCTGCTGGTTCTGTATGGCGACGAGTCGCCGGAGCTTTTGGGTATTGGAAAATTCAAGCCCCAGGTGACGGCCATTGGTGTGAAGATGCCCACACCCTTTGCCACATCGCACACAAAGATGATGCTGCTCGGCTATGCCGATGGCTCGATGCGAGTGGTGATATCCACGGCAAATCTCTACGAGGACGATTGGCATAATCGCACGCAGGGCCTGTGGATAAGTCCGCTTCTGCCAGCAATGTCCGAGGATGCAGACACGGCCGCAGGTGAAAGTCTGACCGGTTTCAGGCAGGATCTCATGTTGTATCTGGTGGAGTACAAGATCAGCCAATTGCAGCCATGGATAGCGCGCATTCGGAAGAGCGATTTCAGTGCCATCAAGTGAGAGCCCGTAACCGAAAGCTGTGCCAAGCTAACCAGATTTTCCTTTAGTGTCTTCTTTGTGGGCTCTGTGCCTGGCGGACATCGCGAGGGCTCGGTACGTGGCCATCCCTGGGGCCATGCCCGTCTGGGTTCTCTGCTGGCCAAGCACGCAGCCCCCATTGAAGATCGCATTCCCGTTGTCTGCCAGAGCTCTAGCATTGGTAGCCTCGGCGCCAATGTGCAGGCTTGGATACAGCAGGACTTTGTCAACAGTCTGCGCAAGGACTCCTCTCCCGGTGGCAAGCTCCGCCAGATGCCGCCCTTCAAGATGATTTATCCGAGCTTCAACAACGTCTCCGGCAGTCACGATGGCATGATCGGAGGCGGCTGCCTGCCGTATGGCAAAAACACCAACGACAAGCAGCCATGGCTCAAGGGTCATTTGCAGCAGTGGAAAGCCACCGATCGTCATCGCTCGCGTGCCATGCCCCACATCAAGAGCTATACGCGTTATAATCTAACCGATCAGTCGGTCTATTGGTTCGTGCTGACTTCTGCGAATCTTTCGAAGGCGGCCTGGGGCTCTTTCAACAAGAATTCGAATCTACAGCCTTGCCTACGAATTGCCAATTACGAGGCGGGTGTACTTTTCCTTCCCAGATTTGTGGTTAGTTTGTGGCTGGTCCTCTAAAATCGGTGGAATCTTCATTAATGGATTGCATTTTTCAGACTGGAGAGGATACTTTTCCTTTGGGTAATAATCGTGATGGAGTGCCAGCATTTCCACTGCCCTATGATGTTCCCCTCACACCTTACCTGCCCGATGATAAACCATTTTTAATGGATTACCTACAAGGATAAGGTTTACAGGCTGCATTTGTGATCTACCAGAGAAATTTGTTGTTTCATTCCCAAGAATGGAATTTTCGTTTATGAATTATATACAGAACTCATTACATGATATTACTACTCTCCAAACATAGTTATCCGGAAAATATTTACATTACTCTTGGCTGGTTTGCTTCAAAAATAAACCTTTACAGATTTTGAGCAAATATTTTGCAGTTAGCAAAGCGCCGAGCAAGGCAAAAAGCTTCGAAAGCATGATTGTGGATGAGAGAGTGGAGAAGATTCGCAGATTCAATTGAAAGGGAACGAAACTTCAGATCTCTGAAGGTTAATTTACTGGGAAAATGTTACTTTGAACCATAGTTATGATGCTAATTTCAAAATAAAACGCCGCTTATTGCACATGTGTATGTCATGTGTGCATCCATTATGGTCGTATGACACCAACTGTTTTTTATTCAAGCAGGGAAAAAGAGTTAGGCATCTTCGGAAAATACAACAGTTAAGATTGAGACGTTTGACTGCATCTTAAATTAAACTGAAAACACTCTGTTATAGATTTACATACAGAATATATATTAACTTATACAAAATTCACCAATAAATCCACCAAATCTATGAGAATCCATGGATACAATTCAGTATACAGTACTGTATGGTTCTCTTCCATTTAAAGTGCTGGATAAATCTTTAATCGACGCTTTAAAGCTTAATAATTAAGTTAACCACATGTAGAAAATGTGCAGTAACCGCTTAGGACATATAAGCAAATTTAATATTTCGGTATGTGTTCAGTATATATATAATATGATAAGGTATTTTTTGGTATATTAACGAGGGTCACGCGGTATCTTTGATAGCTAAATCCACAGTCACACTGACCACAACCACAAACATCAGTCGCAAGTGTTTTTTTTCGTTCGCCCTAAAATTCAAATCACATCAAATTTCTCTAGCAGAGTGATGACACTTTTTGACGCTGCTACATGCATTAATACAACACAATAATAAACAATATAAAAACGAACACACAGCAGCCGGAGCGTTTCCACACAGAAAGGACGAATAAACGAAGGCCAAACGGATAATTGGAGATTGGATGATAAGGCAGGCTTGCCGCTGCCAGGTTCAGGGAAAAGTGTGCTCCTCTCCGTCCCAACGATGTCCACCGCCTTTCTGACGCTGTTCGCCGTCATCGTGTGCATACTATTTCGCATCCTGAACGTGCACAGCCAGCCCCTAAAGCCGAGCGTATGGTGCCTGGACGAGCAGTTCCTCGATTGCCTCTACAAAATAGCGCCTGTATTAAGAGAGCCGTAAGTATATGACGAGATACTTCCAGCACACTGTATCCATCGCGCCATTATTCATACAGGCCCATTGGGCGTCCCACAAGCCCACGCAGGCCTCATTTCCACCCCACACATACATACACACTTCTCGAGTGCGGAATCAAAACATAACATGAATTAACGGTTGTCTTGGGTGAACCGAAGCACTTGGTACCGTAGTCATATGACCTCTTGAGCATAGAGTCCGCTGAGGTTTTTTTTAAACCTAAAAGTAGTGTAGGGAGTGGAGGAATTTCTATCTAAATAATTTGCCAAAATCTATTGAAAATCTGAACCATCCTCTGCTAGGGTACCAACATAAATATCCGTTGACTCACGCCACCACTGCTTCGCCCAGCTGTTAACTGTGCCACCCCATCGTCGGTCTTACAGCCAGGCCAAAATGTTGGATAACTGAAAAGCATAATTATCTGTCGGTTGGCGTGCTGCCTAGCACTTCAGCGAATTGTTAGTAAAATATCTGCAATTACTATAAATTACTGCATTCAGTATTTGGTTAATCGACAGAGACAATTTGTTTTCATATGGGAATGCAAAAAAAAACCTGTTCTGGGAAACGTTTAATTTATAGTTATTTTAGCAAAATATTACATTTTTCAAGGTTCAACAAGCTAAGTTTAAAGATTTCCATTTTAGAGCCGTTAAAAATTAACCATTTTGTTAAGCCATTTCTGCTTACAAATTTAATTACACAAGCCCTCCTCCTTTACTGAGGGGTAATGAACGGAATTTTTACTCTCACCAGCCTTTGAACCAACTTTAGTTATGGAAATGAATGTGTGAAAAATTCAGATTTCTTGGTTTATTTGTTTTGCGTGATTGTTTATGAATCAGCCTTAGAAACAGAAATATTTCAGACTTAAATTTAGTATACTTTTGTCTAAATGGGATGCATGTTTTTTATGAGCTAAATAAAAGCAACAGAAAACTAAAAGCTGGAGATTTGAACCACAAATTGCAAGAAATAGTTTGTTTTAGATTATTACTTTACTATACTCATGTTTTTTATTTCACAATGCAATGAAAATCCACGCATTCTAAAATATCCACTTTTCTGAGCCATTGTGTATTATTCAATGCACAAAACATACATCTTTTCCGAGGCAAAGTTTTTCATCTGCTGAATGAATCATTAAACGTAATTACTTAATAAAACATGTCACAGATGTTTTGCCGCTTTAACATTTAATGAAACTTTACAGTATCTGCCTGTATTGACGATAAGTTTTTGGCGATAGTCGACTATCTGTCGAGTAATAAACTGCATTTGCGGTTTCACATATTGATTTTCTGCATTTCCTTTTGTTAGTTGTTATTTTCACTATCAGGTTCCAATATTCATATCAATATTGTAACCGCAGCTTTGTGAGAGAAATGCACATGTGTTTATATGGCAATATAATTATAAATTTCTTGAGGTTTGCGTTTTCGCTTGACTAATAAACCCTGACTAAGAAGAGTTGTCAGCTACTCGACTAAACTTGACTAAGAATTGTGCCAATAGGTTATCAATGCAAATATTGAATGATTATTTTAAAGTACTTTTTATTAAAAATTATCTCTTGAAGACTAACATTTTTCGTTGGTTGTTTTGGGCGTACGCCTGGAAAATTTCGCCCGGTGTTTTATCTCTGGTAAATCCGTAAATGTTTTCGGCATTTCTTTTTGCCGTGGCGCTGTCCAATCGGAAAAAGTAAATGGAATTTCGCTAAATCTCTTTCGTAGAGCTTTTGCTTTAATTTACTTTTTGCGCTGTGTCTGCCAGAAATCGCGATAAGCGTGAGCTCTCGACCAAAGTTCACATCCATAATTACGCAGTGGGCTAAGAAAATAGCGACGACTAACGCCTAGCAACCAATTACATACGGATACGTGATACGAGCAAGGGGTGGGGTATCGCGTGGGAGTTTTCCATCAAGTAAATGCCCATAGAATAGAATACCTGGAAATGTACAAGGGTATGCTCGTATCTATCAAAAAGACAGAGAAGATGAGAAGGGGTAGAAATATGAGTGTTTTTATTTAAACCCCCGCAGACAAAGTTTGTTTGCATTTCATTTGGCAATTTATGAGTACATACTCTTTGATCTACTTTTGAATTAAACAATTTGAGGAAACCCCATTCAAATATATGTACATAAATGCTTGTGCGCCTTGTAAATTCTTGTTCGTACAAAAATCTTAAGTAGAAACATTTTCTACCTTCTAAAGGTACAGATAAAAATGAAATTGGTCAGTTTTAGATAAAAATATATACTAATAAAATATACTATGTACATTCATTTGTATAGTACACGTGAATATGCATAAAAATATGAATAATACGTCAATTCTTGTTTATTTTATGAGAGAGAGGTCTAGACCTGTTCTCACCTGTTGAACTGCCTTTGAATTGCTTTCTTGTTAGTGAGTGTTTAAGAATTTTTGTGGAACTAATTAGGGGATAGTTCATAGTCAGCGCTTGATTTATATTCTGATAATGAAAAATGCCGGCTATATGTATGCCTTCTTTCAGTTTCCCTTGAACATGCTTATAAACAATGAAGATTTGTATTCAAATGCCGGCGGGGATGCCGGGTGCTATCTGTTTTTCACGCTTTGGCGCAGTGCCCAGACTTTTGTTTAACAACAAAGATTACGTGAGCAGAATACAGATGGGTTGGTCACCGGTCTCCCTGCCCTCTCTTTATAATTCTCGCGTTCTATTTTGTTCAAAAGAATAAACGGGTTGGAAGATGATTTCAGGTAAAAAAGCTCGGGTGTCTCTGCCGCTCTGTCGCTCTTTTCTCCTCTCTCTTGATGAACTGCTGCCTTGGCACAGTGGGTTGCAAAAATAACATCAACAATAGCTGAATGTTACTGAAAGGGGTGCGACATGATGAGTCATATGCGCTTTTATTCCCTTAAATTGGGTATTTTGAGTTTTGCAAGCTAGAGAATCAACCATTTGCTAGGTTTATTTTTGGGTTTATCTGAAATACTGATAGAATCGCAAATTACGAAATTTCAATCACAATTTATAACAAAAGTGTCTAAGGGTGACGAAGCTTTCGGTCCCCTTAAATTTCCTTATCTTTTCTGGTCTAGTTGTTTGTTTCCTTTTATTTTTTACTGTCGTTGCGAAATGATGAAATTAAACTTTCCAGCGCTGGAAATAATTGCAGCTGTTATTCAGCAAAGACATTTTACCAGAACATTACGAAAGTTTTCGACGAAGTAAATAATGTATGTGCATATGTACTCAACTATGTAAATGTGCTTTTAATTTAATGATGAATATTTGATGGCAGTTGATTGGAGTTTGGGGGAAAATGCAGGATAGGAAAATACATATTAAAAATGTATTGCGGTGTTTACAGTCAATCACATTTGTGCATGTTCCCAGAGTAGCTCCGCTCCGCCTTCTTCCGCCGTGCCTACCGCTCTCTTTTTGAGATTTCATTTTGATTGATAATAATTGAATGGTAAGCGTTACTTGAAATAGTTGGAACACACAATGGAACACACAAATTGTTGCACGTTTTTGCACGCCTGACAACAATGGCCCTGATTTCAGGTCGTCTCTTTCTCTTGCCTCTATCTCTCTCTGTCGCTCAATTAGGTTCAATTGATTCTAATGCGGCTTGGGCTTTAGAATTCTATCTTTTATATCTTTATTTGGTTCTCTTTCACTTTACTATACATATGCATAGCCCCCACAGTAACCAATTCTGGCCACAAATCAAAAGATGATTATAAATAATCAAATTTGGCAAATTGCCTGGAAATAAATAGCATTCTCATTTATTGCACAATGTCAAGGTCTTATAAATAAAACCCATAAAAAGAAATAAAATGCAAAAAAGAGAGATGCATCGGCCGGGAATCGAACCCGGGCCGCCCGCGTGGCAGGCGAGCATTCTACCACTGAACCACCGATGCTTGTGTGGGTTTGTCAGCCAACTGTTAACTTGTAACATTTTTCGAAAGAAGCTGTTCAAAAAGTTTCTTTAACAGTATACAAATATTTTGAAGTTAAATTTTACTTTTCATACATATAAAATTAATAAATTTTCTTCCTTTCAGCTATGTCCCGCCGCGACTATGGGGTTTTAGTGGTCATGTGCAAACGGTTTTGCACAGCATTGTCGGACGAGTGCGTTGCCCGTGGCCTCTGGGAGAGCGGGTCTATCTTTCCCTGCAGGATGGCTCCACATTGACCTACGACCTCTACCAGCCCCTCAACGAGCAAGAGGGTAAGTCCAGCCATAATTTAATCGGCTTTTCATATCTTAATCTCTTGATACCGTATCTTCCAGATGATGTAACCGTGGCGATTTGTCCCGGTATAGCCAACAGCTCGGAATCGGTGTACATACGAACCTTTGTGCACTTGGCCCAGTGTAATGGCTATCGCTGTGCAGTATTAAATCACATTGGAGCCCTGCGCAGTGTCCAGGTGACGTCGACACGCATATTTACCTATGGCCACACCGAGGATTTCGCCGCCATGGTGGAGAATTTACATCAGAAGTATCGTCAGAGTCGTATCGTGGCTGTAGGATTTAGCTTGGGCGGAAATCTGGTTACCAAGTACATGGGCGAGATGCAAAAGCTTAAGCCACTGAGCGTCATCGGTGGAATCTCCATATGCCAGGGCTACAATGCTGTAGAGTGAGTGGGAATGAAATTATCATTATGGAACTGAACGAATCTAATCTTTTAATCCTCATTTTAGGGGCACCAAATGGCTGCTGAATTGGCAAAACTTCCGACGCTTCTACCTGTACATTATGACGGAGAATGTGAAGAGTATTATTCTCCGACATCGCCACATCCTGCTCTCCGATGAGGTCAAGACACGTCATAATCTGATCGAGCGTGAGATAATTGCAGCGGCAACTTTGCCAGAGCTGGACGAGGCCTACACAAGGAAGGTCTATAATTTCGCCTCCACCCAGGAGTTGTACAAGTGGAGCTCCTCGCTGTTCTATTTTGATACCATAGAGAAGCCCATGATATTTATTAATGCTAAGGATGATCCATTGATACCAGAGGATTTGTTGTTGCCCATCAAGGAGTATGCAAGTGAGTATAAAAAAAATGTGTGAAAGTGATTAGGCCTACTTCCTAATCAAGCTTCAACGGCCTAAGCTTCAACTTTTTGGCGCTTAACTTTAAATATAGCTGCTAGTTCAGTGTTGTGTAACGCAGTAGCGATAGTTTTAGCAAGGTTGTGTGTGTGCTCTGCACGGCATAAAATACCATTCTGCGCCACCCCATCAACAAGCAGCCGTGGCCGAGCGGTTAAGGCGTCTGACTAGAAATCAGATTCCCTCTGGGAGCGTAGGTTCGAATCCTACCGGCTGCGATTGTCGATTCCTTGGGTCCTCTTCCTTTTTTTCAAATTTAAATATTTTACTCATGATTATTTTTTTTTTGCAGCCACACGACAGAATACAGCCTACGTGGAGGTGGCCCATGGAGGCCATCTGGGTTTCTACGAGGGCGGTTTCCTCTACCCGAATCCTGTCACCTGGCTGGATCGCACACTGGTGGCCATGGTGGGATCGCTGGTGATGATGCACGCTGATGTGGGCAAGGTGACGCCGGCATAAACTAACAAATTGTTAAAAACACAACTATTAAATGTTTTTGTGTGAAAGTCGGCTGGCGCTGTCTATATGAATCTTAATCAAAGGAAGAAACCAAACGGAAACATATACAACTTACATATAATGATTGATGGGAAAAAATTAATTGATCACCCCAATGGAAACAGGAAAACCAAAATTGATGTATACTTTTGTAAAGTGCATTTAAAAGTGAAAATTATTTCAGATGTTTTGAAAAGTTTTTATGAGACAACAGTTTACGCTTTATGCAATATCGAAAAGCCAAGCATATAATGTATCACCTTAAATTATACTTTAGTCATGTACTTATAAGCAAAATTCCTATTTATTAGCATTCTAATTTGTAATCCCACAGGGTTTTAACTATATTTTTATATGCCAACTGTATGCAAGACACAAACATATACCATACAACCCCACGATATCCATGTACCCAGTAAATATAAATTATAAGTCCCCGGTCGCACAAGCACATACCCTCGCACCATATGTATAACAACCAAATGCCTTATTGTAGACTCATTTTACATAAGTGTGTATATGATTTTTGAATTATTTTGAATCATGTTTTATTACGATGCATTTCGAGTCAAAGAAAGCAACCAAAAAGAAAATTCGCCCATCGATGGCCACGATTTTTTGTACTTTTTCTGATCTTTACCAGTTGTTAGTTGCAGACAAGATTTGTTTGTGTTTACAGTGTTTGCAAGAGGTGTGTGAGCAATGATATATGCATAAATATATACAAATATGGGTTTGTTTATAAATGTATTTGTAAATGTGTATTTATAAATGTGTATGTAAATGTATGGAATAAATAACAGTTGACTAAACAGTATTAAATAGCTTTTAAACGAGTGGAATATTTCGATGGATGATTTAAATTATTGATTATGGTGCAAGTTCATGGAAACATTTTTTGAACTGGAATACCTTTTGTATATGTGAATATATGCATGAATGTTAATTTGAATCTACACTACTTACATTGAAACTACCGGCTTTATGATGATGCCACTGTCCACGCATATTTTCATCCTAAGCTTTTTTACAGTAACGAAATGTTATGTTAACAATGCCATGTTATTTAGTCATTTTAATAAGGGTTCAATTCTGTCCGTTAAAATAAGCATTCTACGCGACTTCATCAAGAAGCAGCCGTGGCCGAGCGGTTAAGGCGTCTGACTAGAAATCAGATTCCCTCTGGGAGCGTAGGTTCGAATCCTACCGGCTGCGAAAACTTAAAACCATCTTTTTGTTTTCCTGTTGTTTGGAGGTTTAATTTGTTTTCTTTTCTTGATAACTTTTTTTAAAAATATTTATTAAAATTTACAAAACTTTTTCGGACAGAACTCGCGGCAACAGCAATTGATGCCACACTTCTTGTTGAGTTCGTTGCAAACGGTCTTCTTGTAGTTAAAAGGTAGCAAAGCTGTAAGGATAAATCTTAGTGAAAAGGTACATCCAATGTAGACATGGACTCACGTGCGAACCCCTTTTTGATTCTTCCCTCGTTGACAGTCTGGAGTTCACAGCCAGAGATGCAAACGAAGTTAAATGCCAATCCGTTCGAACAACTTGTGTCCAAGAGACAGCGATTCGTCTTTGTATTAGAGCAAGTACCTTCTCTATTGGGTGACGTATAAACACAGTGGGGGCCGCAACAGGCATTATCGCGGGGCGGCAGTTTCGGCTCCGTGATGCCAGGATCGCGGCAGGCATTTAGACCGGTAAACGGATGGCAGGCCTGGGAGCAGCCCGAGATCGGGACCCAAAGAATCGTCGCCAAAGAGAGGAGCAGCAGCAGTACTTGTGTGGCCTCCATGTTGGTTAAAGAACAGTTAATCGATCGTGGAAAATCGCCGGCTTTTATACCCTCCCAATCGATGGATTTTCTGCTGTTTGCACAAATGTTGCCGGACAAAAATAGATCAAGAAATGCCAAGGGGCACTATAAAAGGAGCTTGCACTCATCCAAAGAACCCAAACGTGATCGAAATGGCTGTGAAGGTTCTGCTGGGTCTGCTGCTCCTGCTCATTGCAACCGAGTTGGCATTTGGCTGCTCAAACAATCTCTGTCCGGTGGTGACCAATACGAATGCATTGTGTAGCGGAACTCTGCGCTATCAATGCGTCTGCGACTTCACCTGTTCCGAGTGGGACAAACCCTGCAATTGGTGTCTCACTTGTCCAGCTGAGATCCAAAATATCAACTCGTGTCGCGATCAAAAGAACAAGCTGCGTAAGTCGACCCCAATAGTAATATATATTTTAATAATACACCGAATTAATGTTCATATTATCCTTACTTCCCTTTTCAGCTCTCTTTAGGCTACCCAATCGCAATCGTAAGGAGTGCCTGGACATTAATATCCTAACCCACAAGAACTCCAACTGCTGTGACAAGTTCTGTCAATTGAATGTTAAAGATGTTTGTTTCTAAATAAATTATTCAAAGTATTTAAAGTATTTTTTTGGATTATATTTTATATCCCGGTGTGGGTGGCACTTGTGATCCAACCAATGTAGAGATCTCTTTCTGAAGAGTACGAAGGAATTCACATTGAATATGCTTCGATGTTTCCTGCTCTACTTAACAGAATCTACAGAAGTTAGGAAACAACAATTCGTGACTGCAATTGGCATACCAAAATGTCTCTTTTAAATCCATTTAAATAATAAATAAATGATTAAGATTTTCGTATATTGCATACAGAATTTTTTTTCATCTTGTTTGGATGTCCCAAAGGAGAATATCGGTGTTAGAACTACGAAGCCACGCTGGAAGGGATTGATCTGTATGGCTTTTGGTCTGAGTATCCTAAAGGTAATCCACCTTTCTGGTTGCATGTTTGTAAATGTAAGTCGTAAATTATCATGCACATTTCTGTGTACAGATGTTGCTGGTGAGTTTGTTTGCTGAATGTTGCATTTAACCTTCAAAACTGGGAAACAAAAGTAGCAGCTGTTTAATTGATTACTTCTTAAATGATCGGTAAATAAATTCAGAACCAACCTGGCACGCAGTTCTTATTATTTCCCAAGTATCTGAAATTATTTACTATACTCGTGAGTTCGCATATTAAATTTTGATCGAATGATCAATACTCCAGCGTTTTATAGCATTAAACATTTCCAGTGAGAGAGTGCTGGAAAATGTATCGTTATTATTTAAGGAATGCCACGTCTTGTCTTGTATGCCAAATGTATTATTTATTTAGTTAGTTTATACATATTCAATGTCCATGCACACACACACATATTTGTGTGTATGTTTCAATAGTTCTTACAAATATTTAGAAGTTAGCTTCTTAGGGACTACTGATTAGCACATACATATTTACCTACATAGATATACAAACACTAGTCGCTTTAGGTAACATTAAATGCCTTCTTAGTCGTTTATGCTATTTAGTTAAAACTAAAACATTCATTCAGCTTAGGGCTAGTTTAGATCATACATTAGCTTTTCAGCATTATTGGGTTCCTCGCAGTCGAACGAGGCCATCATTAGTTCTGCAAAAGAAAACAAAACACAGTCGTTAGTGGAATATTTGGTTAGAAATAGTATCAGCAATGGCACAAGCTTCGTTTTTTGTTATGTTTGTGGGTCAGCGAAAAATGGACACAGCCAGAAATTGTTATTTAAGTTTCTGTTTCCACTTGATTGAAAAGAACACTCGAGCGGACACATGAATGGACCCAAAGTACTCACAAACAAGGAAATACTCGTACACACTCCAAATTGTCCAAAAAATCTCAACGATGCGTGTCGAAATTTTTGATATTTGCATACCCTTACAAGAGGTCAAGGAATTTCAGTAGGGAAAGAAGGTTGCCACTAGCTTTGAGACAATGATAAATGGAATCTTTAAACAGCTTCAGCAGATTTAAAATATATTTTTAGAAGTGTGTATAAATATTTTCTCACAAACCTGCACAAGTACAAATATCTGAAGAGTCGATAGTGTATTTACACCTACGACTATCTACCACTAGCATGCCTTTTCCATTTTCCATTTCTTTTTTGCTTTGGCACGTGTTCGATGGCATGCGATGAAGCCTTGAGGGCTAGTCATTTGTTTAGTTATTTTTATCAGGCACGCGGAGAGCGTAGTAAACAAAACTTTTGGGCAAACACAGTTAAAATTTATGAGGCCAGAAAGTGGCAATATTTAGATTTTCCCTCGCTCAATTATCAATTTAATTTATGCCAGTTTTTAAGGAATTTATTTTGCATATGGCCAGGAATAAAGACGAGGAGCTGAATCTGTAACTGAGATTTGTTTGCTCTTACTTGACGATCGGTCACACACATATTCATAAGCCCGAAAAGCGTTTAAGTGGAAAAACTTGAGCTGGAAGTCGTTGGGGAATGGGTTAGCTAGCGGTCAAGAGAAACTGTTGTACATTTCTCAGTGAAGAGAAGTGTAGCATGGTGCAATGTCCAGTTCACACCATGAGCCCATTAAAATTTTACAATGTTTGGAGAAGCATCCTCGTTTGGGCAGCGCTTTCGGTCAACAGATGTGCGCTTGACTTGCCACAAAATGTGGCATCCCACTGCAGGCCATCCTCTGTCCTCTATCCTCTAGTTTGAGTTTATAGGATTTGTGTTCACAAACTCTACGTATGCTTGAGCAGAAAAAAGCTACAATACATCCGCCTGGAACATGCTCTGAAAATTCTCTTCAAGTTGTGCCAACAGCAAAGCCCCTGCCACACTCAGCACCCGTTACAATGAAGGAAACGTTGCCTCTGGTTATGGAACAGCAAAAAACATACTTCGGCCTGGCAACAACATTGTCTCCCTCAGCCCTTTTTTTCTTGTTCGGTTTCAATGGTGTCGTGTGTGGCGTGTAAATATTTTCCCCATTTCTGAGTCGGCTCGGCTCGATTCGGTTCAGTTTGGTTTGTTTTTTCCGTTTCTATTTGGTTCGGTTCGTTCCTGTTTTGGTACTTATTTTTACGGTCTACAAACATAGTAGCGAACCGTATCACACCATACTCGTGGTGTCTAACAAGCGGCTAAAAGCCTGGGAGTCAGTCAGATGGAGTTAAATATAAAATTCTCAAAATATCAGAATATATTTTGGTGTGGAATAACAAATTAAACCTCAAGCTGATTGCAATTCATATACCCGTATGTATGCATATGCTGTAGAAACTTAAGCTTGGGCTTTGATTTTTGATTGCGGTGGGAATATCCAGGAGAGAGTTCATGCTCAGTTTTCCCTCAGTTACCGAGACACAATATATTTTATTTGCTGGCTCAGTGAGGCATCAATTGCTTGTCTCCCGAGCACTGAGAACAAACAGTAGACTGCTGTAAAATTGTTCTGAGAGGAGGAGTGTTCAAGAAGAATGACATACCAGACAGGTGATAAATAACAGGACCAGTCTATGGTCATTTTTCCACACCCAAAATGAAAACTGCCCGCAGCTGAATACCAATAACGTGCTGCTGTCAGTCGGCTTAGGAAGGTAGATGCTGCAAGTATTGGGGTTTGGCCGAGGACAGTTACTAAGAGAAGTTTCCTTTTATCTATTTGTATTTATCTGGAATGTCTGAACTGTCGGCCGGACTGTCAGGTCCATGTCTACGACAGTGAATAAAACAATATAAATCTGCACAGTTTCCACTGTTGGAAATACACAAAACGGACGGCATTGCTTTCGAAAATCAAATTGTCATTTGAAAATTTAATGATATTGATTTTAAACATAGAAAAAGGTATTTTGTATATGTATTTTAGAGCTACTTCAAATGCTCTTAAACATAAATTTGATTTCTTTATTTGGGATCAATACTCAATGCTAATTATTCATTAAGCAAATGTGAAAACCTCTGCCTCAAGCAATACCAAAACCACTGCACGCACTTCCCATGTTTTCGAAATTTATAATTTAATTTTGCAATTAAACAACAGACACAAAAGACGAAGAGCTAGCCAAAGGCATCTCCCAACTATGATGATAATAATGATGATGGGACTTGGTCAATGATATGGCACTGCCATTGAGCTAAGGATAATTGTGCCAGTTGTTGGGTGAGACTGGGGCTTCATATGGACTTGGTCTTGCTGCGCAAATTACCATATCTAAGGCCTAATGAGCAAAATTGAAATAGCACACAGATGCACAAGGCAGACCCAAACAAATGGATACAAATTAATTGCACTTAAATTCCCCAAACCAAGGAGCTCTAGAATGTTTGTTCTGGTGTTGTGGATGCTTGTGGGAAATTCATTGGACTTGCTGGCATTCAAGCTACTAACAATTAATTTTATATCTAAATTGAACTTTGGCTTCGCTATGTGGCCCTGACATTTGACACACGATATGATTATTATTTTACGAGAAAATCGTAAATGCATTTTACGTTTAAAGATAAACATTTTCATTTCAAATTCCCTCGCCAGCAAATATTATTTTTAGCAAATTTTCTTCGCACATCTAAATGCAATTTCTGCCTGCTGTTCGCTCTGGAATTTCGAGAAATTGCTTTCGAGTTCCTGTGTCATGCCGGAGCAGACGTGCGCCATCCAATAGGCACAGCTGCTCCGGCATGTCGCCCCTTTGGGGAGTCAGGGAAGCACACGAAGAGGCTGTTCCCATAGAGACGGGCCTCTGTGTCGCAGTCATGTGGTAGCAGGATTTTCTTTATTTTTGTTGATGCAAGCGATGCATCCCTATTTGTATTTCCCTTATTTTTCTACGTTTTCCAGTCGTAACACATGCCGTCATAGAGCGAGAGGGCATGGAGTGCGTTCCTGACATAACAATGCTCATGGCTTCATAGCCAAGTGTGCACCAAAAGTAGAACAAACGAGTTAGATTTTCAAAGCAAA